TCGGACCCCACATACAGACCGGCTCCCGCTCACTGGCTGAGCAAGGAGCGGGGGCAACACCGAGGGTTGCGATCCCGTTGCCGGTCCCGGTCCGGTACGGGGGCAACACTGAGGGTTGGGATCCGTTGCTGGACACGGAAAAAAAAAAAAGTATGAGAACCACGAGGGCCGGCCCGGTGGCGCACTGGATAGTGCGCCGCTTGGGAGGCGCGGCGGCGCTCCCGTCCGAGGGTTCGGACCCCACATACAGACCGGCTCCCGCTCACTGGCTGAGCAAGGAGCGGGGGCAACACCGAGGGTTGCGATCCCGTTGCCGGTCCCGGTCCGGTACGGGGGCAACACTGAGGGTTGGGATCCGTTGCTGGACACGGAAAAAAAAAAAAGTATGAGAACCACGAGGGCCGGCCCGGTGGCGCACTGGATAGTGCGCCGCTTGGGAGGCGCGGCGGCGCTCCCGTCCGAGGGTTCGGACCCCACATACAGACCGGCTCCCGCTCACTGGCTGAGCAAGGAGCGGGGGCAACACCGAGGGTTGCGATCCCGTTGCCGGTCCCGGTCCGGTACGGGGGCAACACTGAGGGTTGCGATCCGTTGCTGGACACGGAAAAAAAAAAAAAAGTATGAGAACCACTAATTTATTACTGTCTAACATAATCATTAAGGCAGTTTAGCATGTCAAAATTACAAAAGCATAAGATTAAGGAAGAAAAGAGAATAGGAAAACCAAAACTGAATTTGTAGGATTAACTGAGTATTCTCATCTGCTAGTATTACATTATTGTCATCAGACATTGCTAATGAGGATCAATAGTAGGTAAGAGGGCTGGGTATAAAACAATAGTGGAAAAATTTACAGTAAACTAGAGAATGCATACTTCACCTAAAAGCATTCATCTTCAAATAAAGATACTTGTGACTTAAAACTCATTGTAAAGAAGAAAAATTGTAAATCAAACCATCCTAAGACAGAGAAGTTCTGTACTATGCTAAACAAAGCATAATCAAAATACCCTCATTTTAGGGTGACTGTGTCATTTATTGGCCAAAGTAAGCTATCTAGAAGACAAAAGGAAGTAACAATCAAACCAGGATGGTACAGGAAAACCAGGCCACCTGGACACTCTATTCACTTTACATAAATATATAAACTAAGGCATAAAGTTTGTTTGCTTGTTTGTGTTCACAAAGCCAAACAAATTAATCTAATATGAACTAGAGAGACTGGAACCCAGACAGGCATAGTGATTTGCCCAAAGTCACAGTGTATATGGAAGAGGCCAATACTAGAATTCAGAACCCAAGTACCCTGACATGCTGTCCAGGTCAATAATGTGCTATTAGTACCACTTTCTTTTCTTTCTTGAGTTACATTCTCTTGCTCCTTTTTTCACAAAAAGATTTTCCTCAAAAATGTGTTCTTCAACCAAATAACGCTGAAAATAAGGCAAAAAAATTTACACAATGACAGGGAGATGAAGAATTTCAAATACTTACAAAAGCACCCATACAAATAGATTAAAAATCCTGTGCTCTAGGATCAACTTTAAAAGACATTTCTGTGCCATGCATAACAGCGGAATATTGAAGAAATTAATAAAAGCAAAACCTAGCCCTTTTGAAGACTGAAGAAAATTCACATACTTTGATGCAGTTAGTCTCCAAATGTTAACTCTTTCCTATCTCACTGGACAGGCAAAAACCAAAACTTCAGAGCTAAACTGTGTTCCCCAATATTCAGCTAAGGAAATGGGAAGTGTCCAGAGCAGAAGGTTCCACGGCTTTTAACTAACTAAAGAATCTGCTTGCCTCCAACACCCATATCCTTTGATTTATCCCATACAGCCAGGGAAATCAAGATAAGCACTAAATTTCAGAAATATGCAATTCTTCACTTCCTGCATAAAAGAAAACTTGCTAGCGCAACTAATTTTCTAATATGAAAGTAGAAAAAGCATAGGTTTTAGAATCAGATCAACCTACATTTGAATCCTTACTTTGCCATTTACAAGCTAACTGGCCAAATTAAATGAACTGAATTTCCTCCCATGTGGTACAATAACTGGCATAAACAGGCACTCAATAGGAAACTCTCATTATTTTTACTCAGGTTTTAATTCAATGCCCAATGCAAATAGGACAAATTATTTTTAAAGCAACTGATGAGTATAGTTATGGGCTTGGTACAGTTTATAACAAGTATCTCCTGGATCCATCAGTTAACCCACAGCTGCACATGGAAGTATGCAATTGAGGTAAGAGCAGATTACAAAATCCACTGGCAGGTCCATTTTATTAAATTATGAGAAAGATACCCAAATAATAAATCATTGGTCCAATAATAATTCCTTTTTTTTTTTTGGCAGCTGGCCTGTACATGGACCCAAACTCTTTTTTTTTTTTTTTTTTTTAAAAGATGACTGGTGGGCCGGCCCGTGGCTCACTCGGGAGGGT